GCCTACTATTTCAATCTCTTTTTCATATCATGCACTCTGATAGGCATGTTGCATGGATGGATTTTTTAAATATAAAGCATACTATAGATTGATGAAATCAACTGGAAAATTAGTTTAGAACACTTCATTTCATAAACCACCTGATAATTAAACTGGCCAACAGAGGGCGGTATACTTATTTATTACAAACTCATAAATCTAATATTACTGTAAGTGGACCTACAATATTGAAATATATTGAGATACAGTAATATTCAATAGTTTTACAAAGATATAGCACCAAATTGATTGTTTTACTTTAATATGAAAATTTAAATCTGCACAAAATTACTTGTATTGTCATTGCCAAAGGCTACACCCTCCCCCCGCACAAAAAAAGGGGAAAAAAGAGAGAAAGGATGTGCAGTACCATAGGTCTACTCCAAAAACAAAGTACAGTAATTTTCAATTAAATTTCCATGAACCACTCTCTTTGTCAAGCATTTCTAAACAAAAATATTGACACCTCCATACCCCACGTCGCATATGGCCCCCCCCTACTCAAATTTTTCTCTGGATCCACCCATGTACTTAGTAAATCAAGTGAAAATACTGTATGGGTGAATACTAGGCTTTCAAAACTAATGTTTAATCAAGTTTCAATCAGTATATCAGAGCTCTTTGTAAATCTAGGCTTTTCATGTTTTTCAAAGAAATAATCATACAGTAGTACAGATGAATGCAATCTCCTGCCATACTACCAAAACGATATGCTATACTATAGTACATCTTCTACTATCTACTTAAATTACCGTAAAACCTCGAATTGAAGCCCAGTGGGTTTAATCTCGAGATGAAGCCCATCTCAAATTGAAGGGCCCCCCCCCCCTATTTTAGTTTGCAAATGCAGATTCAAGTAGAAGCCCATCTGGAAAAGAAACCCATGGGCTTCTTTTCAAGATAGCGTAGGCTTCTTTTTGAGATAGTAGATGAATTTCAGAAAACAAAATATATTAAAAACAAGCTTGGTTTTATACAGTAGTTTAGGTGATTTAATGCCATTTAAATACTCTTCATGATATAAATTGATGTTACAGTGGCCTTATTTATTGTTTTGTAGCACAAATTCACAAAATTTACAGCATTCATTTTGAAAAGAATCCCCCTCCCCTCTTTACTTTGCAAAAGTACTGTAGCCTCGAAAAGAAGCCCATCTTGAAAAGAAGCCCATCCGAAGTTGGCAAAAAAAAAAGAAGCCCAGAGCTTCAATTCGAGGTTTTACTGTACCACATCTATGAACCATCTTCTTTGCTTTTAATAAAATATATCAATTTACAATTTAGGTACAATCAAATTAGGGGAGGATATACTGTACCTACTTAATCCTCTTAATCGAAGAGGATTAACGGATTAAGTTTACAGTTAATGCTTACAGATGGATGGATATTTACAGTAGTTGTCAGATAATTTACCTGGGTACTCTGTTAAAACTGATGCATAAACACAAGAAAGCAAAGCAACTGTAGGAACTATAAACAGGTAACGTCAATTACTGTCCTAGTCGAAAAGATACAGTTGCAAATATTAATGTACTTTATGACTTTAATAGTTTATATTCTAATAATACGAATCTTTATTTAATTTAATATTTAATTTTTAGGCAAAAAACTAATGATATGCCAATTGCATACTTAAAAACATAAAATATTAGTTTACAAATCTAGCCTCCAGAAAAAAAATCTTCTTAATGTGTCAGGAATTGAACCAAGGACCCTGATATTGTAAAGAAAGACATGGCTCCATTCCAGGATTTATAGTTAGGCCTAGAGTAATTTTAAAACAGATGATCTTTAATGCACTATAATCACCTTAAAAATTTACAATTAATCCATACCTGTGTCACTTATAACTTACTTGACAGCCAAAAAATGTGAGGGCGCCCTCTATAGAATCATTTAAATAGTCAACTGACAATAAATCAGTAGTAGTTGTTTTTTTCACATGGTCAGTAAAAAAATTATAAGAAACAGTTCCCATAATAATACAGCTGGTAAAAGTTTAATTTAAAAATGAGTAAGATTAATAGTGAAATAGATAAAAATCAGAGTATAGAAATACAGTATGTATGATGAAAGATTGAGTGGGAGTAAAATTGACAGAGGATGCCGCAACATGGTGCTATGTTAAGCCAAGAAGGGAATGACTCGGCATAGGCCTACCTCAAAAATTTCACTAATCATGTCACTAATACCAATTTTGTAAAATATTAACGAAGGGGCTGACTAGAGCCTCGGTCCGGGTCCCATAGTCCAAAATCCCTGGTAGAGTTCATGGGGAAATTTTTTATGGCTTAGTATTATATGGCCCAATTGTGTTAGACCTTGATATTAGGGATTCGCAATCAAAATAATGACTTTTTGGACAGGCGAATTATTATTTTTTAAGATTTTTGATCCAACAACCTGAGCTGTTTTGTAATTTATTGTATGTTTATTTGGTCAGGGAATTTAGAGGATACCCACATCTTGTGTTGAGCTCTTTAGTCCATGGTGTCCTCTTGGCTCCCCTCTGGTCATTTTCTGATTTGTGATTTTGTAAACTTAATAAGTAAATAAATACAAATATACAGCTCCCAATCCCCCAACTTGTGCTAACCTTGTATGGCACTCAAGTGTAAAGATATAAATTAATAAGACTGTACTGCAATTACATCATTAGTTTTTCCATCACAAGAAAAATACAATAAAAAAATAACATCTTCTTTTATTCTCCATGGAAAACTCAGATTGCTCTATCCATATTATTGTGCCTCAGGAGTTAGGAGTACGTATCTACGGTATATTAGAATCACTAAGAATAAACAGGTTAATTGCTGTAATGGGTATAAAGACATACTAGCAGAAGGCGGCAACACTGCACAACAGCAGTTGTTTATGTAACCTATGGAGGTATACCACCATGATGTATCAACTCATGATTAGGTGCAGTTATGGGTTAATTTTGTCATATGACATGCTGGGACTGGGCAACACCCAGAAGGAAGTAAATTTTCAAATTATCTATTAATAGGTATGTACAGTAGTACACATTGGATGGAATAGCTTTCTTTAAATTTTTAAAATGGAGATTTCCAAGATTTATTCATCATCATTGCACATTTGCTTTCTTTCTTTAATTATTTTGTATTGTACTAATGTACCTACAGTATAGATCATTTGTTATAGTAAAGTTACGCAAGAAATCAATAAAAGTTTTTTTTTAGTTAGTTAGAATTATGCTAATTCTTTTTTATAAACAAACTTACTTGTAAAATATGCTTGATTATAAATTAGTAACAGGTGATGAAACAGCACTCTGCTGAGACCAACGTTCTAGTGCATCTAATTCAGAGGCGGATTATCCAGAGTTGAAAGGGGAGGGGTTCAAAATGTATTCAAAAACACCCAAAATAAAAGGAGGTTCCAGGTCCTCCCCGGGAAAATTTTGATTCCTTCTGATGAGTCTTTTAATAACCTTAATTTCTTCAAAATTCAATATTTTCCCCCTCTTGAAAAAGGTCAGGTACTTTCATCTAATTCTTTAGGCCAATACATAGAGAAAAAACAATCAGACATAGGCGAATATATTATTATATTCCAACAATATTGAGTAGTTGGATACGTAGTATTTCTTCCATGGATCGATGAACCTACTGTAGAGGCCTGAAGAACGCACTTTCGTACATAAAGTTTTACATCGAACCAAAAACAGTGTGTATAAATATATTTAATTGAAGGCTAGTTGGGCTAAGCTTACTCCTTACATCAGGAGAGGGTGGTTAATTTAGAGGTTGAGAACTATGTCTTCTTCTTCACCTTTCTAACCGCTTTTTACATGCTCTAGATATTCATTTAATATATTCATGGGGTCTCTCAGGTTCATGTATACCAACACATGTCATATCAATCTTAATAACTGTTTTTGGCTATAGAAATTGAGAACTGAATTGCAGGTTTCACAGTTCTAACATGTACAGTACTCCACTGTAATTTTTGTTACTGGTATAGGCCTACTATTTTCTGGTTTTTTTTAAGTATTAGTCCTGTGTAAACTTTATTAATAAATTAGCTTTCATAATTTCATTTCATTCATTCATCTTTTATTTAGGAATTTCATGTCCATACAAAAAAATAACACTTAAACCTATAAAACACAAAATTGAAAAACATATACGAAGAGTGAAAGGTAGAAGATCTGAATAGCTATCACAGGTCTCCCTCTAATATAGGTTTCCCTCTAATTAAAGACCACCTCCAATTAAAGATCACTTTCCTATGGTCTGATATAAACAAATGTTTATTAATATCTTTATTAATCTAATTAGAAAGCTGCTAAAGACCTTAGCAACCCTGGTCCCAAAAGTGGTCTTTAATTGAAGGGAGAGCTGAAATCAAATTAGGAGGCTCATTAAGAAGCTAAAAAATAATTTCTCTTTGTATAAAAACAAAGAATTCATCAATTAACCTGCAGCTAGCTGAGGACCAGTTAGCAAGGAGAACCTGTGTCTAAAACACGCCTAATGCATGATTGATTGTTAAGTTCACAGGGATTAGGTTCATAACCACAAATAATAGTGTAGGAAGAATGCATGACCTTTCTATGGAGCATGTCAAAAAAAACCTTTGTCACCAGAGTGCCTTACAGTATAAAGCTATTGGTGGGTTTAGACCACAAGATTTACTTGGAGGAATATTTGCGTCATCAAAATGTCCGCTATCTAAACAGGCAATCTCATATTTTTCACCATTAAAAACATGACACATTCTTTTTACCATGAAAAGTCTCTCTCTCAAAATGGTTGGTTTACCACAACCACAAATGTCTAAGACTTTGAGAGATAATCAATGTCATGGAAATGACTGTTAAAAAATACCAGGGTAGCCAGCTTTTTTTTTGGTCCAACACCAATGATAGAATATGAAAAAAGCCTTGTCTAAATGGTCAATGGTTTGAACACATTGAAACAAAAATTATGGCCATACCTCTTGACATCCTGGTTCATTTTTTCTAATCAGTCTCTTGGGTCTTGACGCCCTCCTCACAGACCATGTATCCGATCCATCACTGAACCTGTTTTGATCCTGAAAATGAAATACAGGTATACAGTAAAGATGTTGTTAATGTTACTAAAAAATATATTTAAAAATGTAGAATAAAATGACTGTATTTATGATCAATATTTTGTAATGGTGGTCACTTTTATAGTGAATACTACGATGCATTGTCTCTTGTGCTCTTTGACGCAGTGTCAATTAAAAAAAACCAAAAAAACAACATAAAACAAGAAAGATTATGATTGTGAATAAAGATGAGATATTATAAAATGTTCAAATGCACATGTCTTCAAAACAAATATAGTAAAGTAGGATATCATTTTTATTCAGTTAGAAGAAGCCTTAAAAACTCAAATTACAGGCAAGCTCAAATTATTGATTAGTAGCCATGGGACAATAGTAGAATGAATGAATTATGTAAATTAACTTTTAAATGTTATTTCAAAGCCTACAGTAATATTACTGTATGTTGGTTATTATTACTGTACCAGTAACATTTTTACTATGGAATGACCGGAAAAAAATGACCTTCTCTCCTGAACCTCAGAAGCTTAATTATCCATCATTATCCATCGCATAAGTGAAAAAAAAAACACACACACAAACATTCTGAACATTTTTTATAAGTTAAAGATTAGTAATAAAATATGGACTAGGTCAAAAGTTATCCTATGATGTCAGGTCCTCAAATTATACCTAGAAGTATTAGAATTACATATGGAACCAAGGGCAATTTAGGATATGTTCACACACACGGTGTCAGGCTGGCGTAAGCCTGGCGTAGAGTATGCCTTTGTGTGTGAACTAGGCAGTGGCGTTACTTACGCCACTCGCAACGCCACCTCCATGGCGTTAAAGCTACTGTACCTGCAGACCCCAGATTAGTAAACGCCACGGAGCTAACGCCAGTGAGGCTTGAATGATTTTACCTCATTTCAAGAGATTGACCAATCAAGACTGCAATAGATTACAGTAGTTACTTTGATCCCTTTCCTGTGTTCTCTAAAGGAAATGGTAAATGGGTTCTTTATCTATTGCATTCTACTTAGTTTACAATTATGATTTGTTGATTATGTTTTGTAAGATATTTTAACCTATTTAGACTGTATTAAAACCTGCAACACCAACAATTGTTCCACAATGCTAGCTGAAAAATCAGAAGTAAAATGGTTCATTTAAAATACAGTAAACATGTAAGTTCACTTAGAACAATTCACAGATTTTAAAGTTTTAATGATGCACTGTAGTAAATATTTTACGACAGTTAAGAACCCGTACATTAATTTAAACTGAAAAGTATTCCCCCATAGGCCTACAGTATATTACTACTAGTTTAACGCCAGCGTTAATATAGCTAACACCATTGTGTGAACGCTTTAGAATTTTAATCCGTGGATTAGCTTATGCTGGCGTAAGCTACGCCAATCTACGCTATGTGTGTGAACATACCCTCAGAGTAGGAAAGGTGTTGTAAAAATTCCTTCATCAATGGGCAATATATTTAAAATGAAATTAATTGGCAAGAAAATCAGGTTAGACAGAAACAGTGGTGAATCCAAGCATGGCACAAGGGGTGCTTCCCCCTCCCTCTTCGCCTTTCCAGCAGCAGCTGATTGATTGGTTGATGTTTCATTTCAACAGACAAAGGCCCATTTTCTGTTGAAGAAAGCCAAATGTTTGCCTTTAACAACATTCTTTGTTAAAACCCAAATCCGGCTGAATCAGTTGCACATACTTTTGTTGATAGTATTAAATACGATAACACATCAGGTAGGCCAAAACATCATTCTATATTATTGCAGCATCTGCTACAGTACTTGGGTATCAGATTCAACACTAGCCACTAAGCACAAGCTCGGTGGTCAAGTGGTTATGACATCAGGCTAATTAACTGGAGGTCGTGGGTTCAAACACCACCTGAATCACTTGCAAATTTCTTTCTCAAGTATTTGGGAATGTACCGAGTATATTCAGCACGATAACATGTCAGGTACTGTAGGAAAAAACATCATTCCCATAATATTTTTCTGTAGCAAACATCAAAATAAAATTCTTTTGCAACACATTTCTGTTCTCACACAAATTAATTTGATCCTCCCTAATAATTTACAATATAACTTGAAAATGACATGATCTGTACAGTAACTACTGTAATAAAAGCCTGCAGAACAGCATGAAAAAATATTAATATCTGTTAAAAATTTGCCATAGTTCTTAGCTTTTGAACAATTTCATTATGGTACTCAAGTGATTTGCCCTTAGGGCATAGTGATACGACAAAAACATATTGTAAACAGTATTTTACTTTTTATTAATATATTTCAGGGGTCACTGTCAGTTTGTGTATGCTACAAGGCATGAGAATAATTTCTGGCCAAGATTCTGGAATTTTTTTGGAAATACTGGAGGAAGTTAAACATTCCAAATAAATCCCTGACTTGTTTAAAAAATAGTTCTGTTCATATAGTTACAGTAGGCAAGGATGTCAGAAATGCTTGCTGAATATCCCAACCCTTTTTAATAATTAGCAGAACAGCAGTCAACGTAATTAAGAAAAACTGTAATAAATTTATTTTTGTTTTTAAATTTTAATGCATCAATGTTATGTATTAAAATATGCGCTACTCACTTATCTAATTCTGAAAATGATGTGATTCCTACTATCCCTGTTTAAAAAAATTCTGGATGTGCCCCTGGTGTGTAAAACACAGGTTAAACCAACACGTTCATAGTACAGCATTGTAAAAACAAGAATGCATGATTTTACACACATTTAAAAAAAAGTTGTACCATGCGTTTTTGGGCAATGTACTGTAAGTGTATGGATACAGTACGTACAGTATAATTTGTTTGTGTCCATACGGTAAATAAAAGGTTCCCAAGTATTATGAAAGAAATTGTTTGGCGATAATGGGCACACAAGAGTGGCCGGAGAAGCAGTGCTACTAAAAGATGTAACACCACGTATAATAACACAAAAATTGGAACCGGGGTGATGCAATTCAAGCTTCTGCCATATACCTTACAATCCAAATTACAAAATAGAAAACAAGGCAAGGAAAGATCAAACAGATACTGGACACCTACTGTATGCAAGTTGGTCAATACAGAAATGAACAGAACAATTACAATCTACAACAGCAGCATTAACAAGAAAGTGACCAACTATAAAGACATTTTTGACATCAAAGTCATTAAAAAAGTAGTTATTAAAATAATTCAAAAGTTTAATATTAAAAAAACTTTCAAATACTGTATAAGCAAACAAACACCCCTTAACTTTACTATAAATGTGGAAATACATTACAATACATAATTACCATCAAAATGTGTTGTTGCATGATCATAAAGACTGATCAAATTGATCCCAACCAGGTTAGAAAAAAAGTAAAGCTACTGGAGTAGAACATTAATAGAATGTGTTGAAAATGGTGTTTCTTGAATTAGTTTTATTTAGTCATTTAGAGAGAGTAATAACATTTTCTATCTATTTTTACAGACCTGTCTGATGTTAAGATTATGATGATTTATTCAATGAAAAATGTGGAAATACATTAATACAATACATAATTACCATCAAAATGTGTTGTTGCATGATCATAAAGACTGATCACATTGATCCCAACCAGGTTAGAAAAAAAGTAAAGCTACTGGAGTAGAACATAATAAAATGTGTTGAAAATGGTGTTGCTTGAATTAGTTTTATTTAGTCATTTAGAGAGAGGGCACGTTTATTCGATGAAAAGATTAAACACCCCAACCACTTATTAGAGGGAGGCGTTTATTCCAAACGAGGCTCTGGATGGGGAAATTATTTGAGGGGACGTTTATTTTAATAAATACGGTAAATTTTACTAGCTGGTACAACAGAAAATTTAAAGGACTTGATACAGTATACATTAAGCATTACAAAGTGTATCTGAAACTGAAATTAGCTTTCTTAAGGATAAAGTTGGTGTGCACCCTTACTACTCATAATGAAAACACTAGTACATGAATATTAAACAAACAAGTTCATAAAATGTCATCCACAAGCCTAAGTTTACAGTATATCTACAGTACCTTAAATTAGTCCAAATCCCTAGATACTGTACAATAGAAAGTCCTTTTAGAAACCCTGATTTATTTCTCACACTGACATGAACCTAGCAAAATCTAGGCCACATTTTCAAGACTAAAACAGATATTATGTTGCAAACTAAAGGTTTTCTCCAGTTGAGCAACCACCTATGAATGTACAGTTCTAGATCTTTTACATCAGAAATCATCTGGGATGAGACAGCAACACAAAGGAGGCATTATTTCTTTTTAGAGAATTTCAAAATTCATATCAAAAGAATTTTTTTGAATTTTCCTCTCTAAATTGTTAATCTTTTGTGTTCAGTAAACTGTTGTTTGCATCTTTTCTGGTATTCTTTGTCCGGTATGTGAAAATAGGCTCAATAAACAAGTTAGTGTGGCATAATAACATTCTCTATCTATTTTTCGGTGAGTACAGTCCTGTCTGATGTTAAGATTATTGTACTTGTCAAGACATGGACCAGCACGTACTGTACACTAACTTCTTTCTCTCCTAAGGGTGTCAGAGCTCCCCGGTAAACCGGTACCACTTACTCTCATCTGTCCAAAACAGGGGATATATGAAGCAGTACACCGGGGTAACCCCTTACTCATCTCAAAAGATGTACTGTACTGCGTATCCTTAAGTCCGCACAAAACAATTGTGACTGTACACTGGGCATTCGGTTTATAGTCCTTTGAGAAGACTTGTTCTACCACCAGAACCATAGAACCATAAACCCGCAACGATATTACGGATGTGGTTTACGGTGCCCCTGCCTTAACCCCTTAGCCATTCAACTCAAATTTAATGCTATGGTGGGTACCAGGTGTAAACTACTGTATTGCACATTCACACCTGTTTTCTTTTAAGGAACGGAAGATGTGAGTGTCCAATTCCAATTCAATAGGTCTCTTATTGGGCCATTTCTGTTGTTTACTGTACTCTTGGAAAGACTCATCGGAAA